TGATTTGTGCGTTATGAAAAGCACTGGTGGAGTCGTAGACCCTGTCGCAAGTGTTGGGTCGGGTGAATTTTTTAAACCGGAATAACGAAGCGTCGCGTGGCAACAACGGTGTAGCGGTTAACAGCGTGAAAATTGGCGGAACGACTCGGTTCCGTTCGAAACTCCCTCGGGAGGATTGTCACGCAGCCGCGTCGCACGAGCGATTCGGCATTATCGCCGGCGAACGAACCCGGGGATCGCGATGGAACGAAAGAACCGCAGCGCAAAGGCGTTCGGGGAAAAGGATAACGAACGAGTTTAAGCGACGCGCCGTGAATGGAATGAGCCACGATAGAGAACGAGACAGTTAGATTAAGGGTGGGCCGAGCTGGAAGATGACAAAGCTCCCGGATTCGGAGCTACCGGAAAAGCGAAAGCAATTAAGATAGTTAGTTGGTTATGTGACAAAAAGCCAGGGCGAAACGAAGGTAGAAAGGTAATTACCGTGGTAACGGCTTGCGGCGCGAATGTATCTCGTGAAACCCGCGCGTTCTGGCTTCTGGGGAAATTAGTGCCAGAAAAATTCATGCCCGGTGAAGATTTGCGTAAATTAATTTACGCCGGCAAGTCGGTCGCCTACACGACGGAACGGGATGAAATTCAATTTACAGATGAGGCTGGGACTCATCTTGGTGCGCGGCCGGGTCAAGGCTCGAAAGTGTCACCCAGTTAATTCCGAGGAATTTTCCCGAGGAGTAAAAGAAGAGAGAAATAAAAGGCAGCTGCTCCGATCGACTCGACTTTCCCGTTACAATTTAGGACAGGATCTTCGCTGGATTTCAGACGGGGAAAAGTTCGAAATGTCGTGGCACGTTTCTACTCGCGTTCGTCTACGTAATTACGGGAACTGGATTAATCGTAACGACAGCGTGAAAGAAAATTCCACGCTAGCCCTTGCGCGTCCTCTTCTTCGTCCCTCTTCGAGGCCGACGTTCCATCCTATCGGAGCTTGTACTTTTTCGTTGTTTTCCGTTTCTCGCTTGATCTCCCAGAGAGTCTCCCTCGGCTGGTTTCTCGACGCGGCACGGCGTACTTCACTATTTATTTGCATTTACCTACCGAGGAAGTTCAGTTAAATACCGTGATCTATATCCTGTCGGGGAATAGAATGCTGTGGTCCGTGAACGAAAAACGAGCAAGGGATCGACGCCCCCGCTTCGTTAGTCGAGAAACACAGTAAGTACTCTCTCTTTTTTTTCTCTCCTGGACGTTACATTGAACGCGTAATTTCCCTCAGCGTGCTCGCGGCCCCGCGTTAAACTACAGGTGGAAAAACAGGCTATGTGACGAATAACAAATTTAATTGCGTTTAATTACGTTCGCGTTCCGTCGTTGAAATTTCAATCCGACCGACGTAGCCTAAAAATGCCAGTTTCAACTGTTCAATTAAAACCGGCGGACTTGTTAAAGGGCTGACGTTTCCTTGGCGCTCATTTGCATAATACCGTATGCCGGCAAGATCATAAGACTTAATCGTGGTCAAGAACGTTTCGCGGAACGCAGTATAATTATTCGGTATAGATATAGTCGCCAGACAATGAAGCTTCATTCGTTTCAGACATTTTTGCGCCTCGCAATTACTTATACCACGATCCTATAAATTACAAGTTGAAAATATTGCAAAACATGATGCTACAAGGCGGCATGTGACGAAGATTGAAAAAGCTGTAGGAATGTTGTAATTCTTTTAAGGAGACTAGTTTGAACCTGAAGTATGAGGAATCGCATGGCAGGTCGATGAACAACCAGAAACCAAAGACGGTAGCTTGAAGATGGAAGCGGCGTGTCAGTTTTTTTTCGCGTGGAGAGGATGTCGCCTAACAACGTGGTACGGCGCGTTTTACGGAGCACTTCCGGGCGAAAGTTCAAAGAGTAACGAGCCGCGTTAACGTTCGACCCGGTTTCGCGGCGGGGGTTCATAAAGCGCCGTGCCGGTTTTCTTTGATGCGGCCATCGTATCGCGTGCGGAATCCCATTCCTGTTCGTCGAACGATCGAGGATCACGCGCGGACAGACGACTGTATTTTCCGGCGGGCGAAGACAACGTCGTGAAAACTTTTTACATTACGTTAGCTCGCGGGAAATGGCCTGCCACTGTTCGATACGAAAATAAGAAGCTACGCGTTGTTTATTCCCTCCTCTCGGTTTTCACGACTAAAATAAATCTCGCGGAGGAAGCTCGAGTTTCCTCATAATGGAGACGCCGGTATCCACTCGGGCCGTTTAATATATTTCTTTGTGTTCGAACGGCATGCGTCTACTCTGCGTTTGAACCGCTTCGAGGATGGGTTTGTGTACGTTATGGCTGCTTAGAATTTCAGATGCCTCACCTCACTTCATAGGTACGTTACGGCTAAAGGAAATCTCTTTACGTGTCGTAATTTAGTTTGGAGTAAACAAGAAAACGCACGACAAACTTGCCGGCACCCTTCGGAAGGGGCTTTGAAGAACTTTCACGTTAGTGCCCGACTTCGCGTTATGATTACCGTAAGAAAAATGTTTAATCCCTGCATTAAGAACGCACCAAGAAACAGCTACGCCACTTAAGGATGTATAGGCTATACACTTAACAATAATAGCATGTTCAATTTGTTATTATAGATTCCTATTACTATTAAAGAGCTACCTGCAAAATTTTAAATGAATTCAAGGGTTTTTGAAAAATTATAGTGTCTTAAAAGTTGCATGTACTCTTATGGTAGTCAACAGTAACCCAAAGAAAACTTTCTGGTATTTGGTGTACACGCGCGAAGTTGGAAGAAACAACTGACTTGAGGAGATACAAGCCTGAAAAGTCTGGAATTTTTGGCGTCTTTTTGAATATATATCGATATTTTTCGATATTTTGACAAAAAAAAAATTTTCGATTTTTCCGAGATTTTTCCAAGGGGTACCCCTTCAATTTCTTCCAAATTTTCGTTTTTTGCCAATAACTCCCAAACCGTTCGAGATACGGGAAAATTGCATCAGACCTTTTTTGTAGNTTTTTAATTATAGGAAATGCGTTTTTCTAAGGTACATAAATTTTTAAGATTGACTGTATAGCCAATACTTCTTTAAAAGTTATCTAACGTTGCAGATTTGCATCGAACAAGGGAAAGAGATCTAATTTTCTTCGAATCGGTCATAATATATGAAATTCATCTCCAACTTCAATCCCGCGCTGTTTTTACGATTCCGTTCGCCCGGGCAATACTCTTATCGCGCGTTGCGTGCATCAGGTCCTGCCGTCGTCGCTCGCATGCTCCGTCCGGCACTTTGAACAGCTGCCGGCTACGCGACCCGCTATCATTTTTCCGATGCACGTTCGCTCGACCCTCGACGATTCGTCGAAAACCCGGAAAGAGGGAACCCGGCTGTAAATGGACGGACCGAACGGTTCTACCCCCCGGACTCCCCCGAAACTGTCTGCACGAATAGCTACCATGAAACGTTGCCCTGATTCTCGGACCCATAAGAATAAATTCAACTTCCAAAGGGTTTCCTCTTCCGAATAAAATATCAGAACGTTTCACGATTAACAGAAGCTGGAAACTGATAGGTCAAAGTTATAGTAGAGCCGATGAAATTATGGGCAAGGTCTCGGGGTAATTTCCATGGTAACTTCCCTAACCGGAATGGATCCAGTACGTCTGATCAAAGTTGAACGGTGCGGAGCTCGATGCTCGGAAATCGGTCGGGGAAACAGAATTGCACGGGCGCTGTGATGGATCAGTGCTGGGAGGGGTTGACGAAAAACAGAGGAGAAACAGAGGCGGCGGCGGTGGAATCAGCAGGGGGGGCGAGCTTCCACTTTATGCACGTATGAATACGTACGCGTGATCTGAATGCGCTCGTTCGGCGCGGTTGAGTTTATCAGAGATTGGAGATGGGAATCACTTGGTGAATCATGTTGCGCAACGACCTTTCGATTTTGAAGAACGCGATCCAATCGCTCCGTGCTTTGGTCAATCCGATGCCGTTACCTCTCGCTATTTTTACCCCGTTCACGGGAGGAGCACTGTTTTCAAGCTCGCATCAAAGTCAGAATTTAAAGATAGAATTTCGTGGAAACGGTCAAAGGATTTAAGCCGTAGTACGTTTTCCGAAAAATTTTAACGACAGGTTAATTTGTCGCTCGGTAGAACAGGAACAATTTCGAAACTTTAGAAACATGAAAATCACCGCTCGAATTCCGTTAATTATCGGCTTCATGTTGGAATTTGAGAGTTCACGAACGGAGATCGAATATAATACGGCCACGCTCTATTATCATACTAATTAAATCGTGTGCAGACTCGAATGTAATTTACCTCTGGCTAAACAATCGTAACCGGAGTCCAAGAATTCGTGTTAAAAGCTTGGTAAAAATAAGCAATAGTGATTCGGGGTGTAATCAGGAACCAGTTGACTCGGGTAAATTAAAATGGCGCCCCCTTGTTCCGAGGTCGGGGACAAACGGGAACTGCGTCGGAAGAACAATCCGAAAACGGGGAACAGCCGAGCTAATTGGACTCTTCTCCGGGGAGTTCGACTCGGAATTGCACCGTAACGCCTTGAGTTGAATCGCGGGTCCTGCTTCAAGAAACTGCAGTCGTTACCATTTGATCCGTCTCGTTGCATTTATGTAATCTGCTCGAACGTCGCCGGTAACCCGACGTACACGTACCAAATTATTTTGAAGGGCAAATTTGCATGACGGAATTCTAGCGCGTGTACATAACAATGCCATTTAATTAATAGTTTTAAATGAATTTGCAAACACTTTAAAGAAATTTTGTAAGCCGTTGACGATTGTAACGGATCCTAGCGGCCGTAAGAGTCGCAGCTTCTGCGAAACGCGCTCGTTTCATCCGAACCTCTGGCGAAATGGTCCTGACGCAGCTCGATCGTGGGATAGCCGGCGTGGCTGTCCGGTTTTTCATTCGCGCGATAACGGCCACAACGTGATGTATGTAACGACGGATTTCTGCGCTTTTCAGATTCCATGATGAGAGAGATGGTCGTCGAGGCCGGGAAGAACGTGACGCTGAATTGTCCAGGTGTGACGGAGAACTTTCTGATACTAACGCTGGAATGGCGGGTGGACGGGCTGCAGCTACTCGAGTACAGCAGCAACACGACGATCACTCGGGAAGATCAGAATAGGGTGTCGTTGTTGAAGAACTACGCGTTGCACTTTCACCCGGTCACCGCGCAGGACAGCGGCGAGTACACATGCCTGGTGAACAATCGCAACATGCCGGAGGCTGTCATCAATCTGGTAGTTCACGGTGAGTGTCCCTTTTACTGCCTTCTTTATGTTTATACCTCTGTCTCTCGTGAAGTTACACCCTTCTCGTAAAGGAGATAGGAATCCGAGTAAATTAAATCACGAATCCCTGTAATTTGTATTATGACCCCATAGAAATTTGCCTCTCGTATGAAATTGGTCTTGAAGTCTTAAGTCGTGATTCGTTGATCAGAAACTGAGACTTGTCGGTCGCAGGAATTCTCAGAGAAGGCGTAAACAGTTCATATCTTCATATTTATGTTGCTTAAAATTTGAATTTCATAATTAAAACTACGATCCTCCATAAATTCATTAAAAGTTGCCTCTAAAATTGAGTACCGAGGGATTAAAATGAAATAAAATCGAGCATTTTCTATGTTCGAGGGTAAAATGAAGCCGATACGAAATTGAAATTATCGACGATCAGGAGGCGAATGTACGCCTCGTAAAAATGATCACAGCAAATCCCGGCGCGTTTCGCCAATCGGGATTTCCCCCGGTCTCTCTGACGAGTGAATTAAAAATTAAGCCAACCTCGCGTTTCCCTGTTGCTTGGCTAGCCGCCAACGAGCCAAGCGGGTCAGGTGTATTTGCGTTTTAATCTTGTGCCTCTCCACAGTTTTTCGCGTTCCTTTAAAAACCGTACTTCGGCCGTGTCCGAGTATATACAATCCTCTCGAATGCCAGTTAGGATTAAAGTGTTTTTTTTAGCTTTGATACTTGCGCGCAACAGCGTGTACTTTTGGCAGTGATAATGCCGTCCGGAACTGAGGCCCGTCGCAGGCACTGTTGGAAATGGTAAATAATTTTTTTAACGAACGAAAGATGGAAAAAAATGGCCGACCGGTGTATTATGCAAGTATAACTGATGCGAGTCGCGGAAGGTATTTTGCTTATTATTTTAAAGGGGGCCCTCGAAAGAGTAGCGGGGTAACTAACGAAGGCAATTTTCGAGTCTTGCCGGGGCGTGGGCGCGCTGCGCTCAGCCATGCGGTAACCGAGCTCCTGGCAACTTCAATCCCTCGTTGCATCGACGATATTGGATAAACTTGCGAGCCAGCGGGGCTAAATTTCCGGCGTAATGTCAAGGCAATTTACATCGTCGTTCGGATAATCGGGGAAACTCCGTCGAACGACCATCGAAATTCTACACCGGTTCGGGGAGGCTATCCCGCCTTCTGCTAGCGAGATCCGAGTTCGCGTCGATAAATCGTCTCGTAGGTGCCCCGAAGAAACGAAACGAGTTCGAGCGCGAAAGGATCCTTTTTTCCAGTGGGCAAGAATCGCGAGAGTCCAAACTTTCGAATGCGTTTCTTCTGTTTCTCGTGTTGTTTAAAAATGAAGAGAACTTTCCCGGTGCACTTACGCCGTTTTTAGCCCTCGGGTCCCATGGGAATCGAGCACGACTCGCGCGTCGTCCTTTGGACACGGTAGATAAAAATCCTTATAACTCGGATATTCTGGCAGGGCCGTGCTCGACGCGAAATTAATTGATCTTACTCCGAACCGACGCGTAACGGCGATTCTTTCTTTCGTCTGGCAATTTGTGTTTATTGAACCGAGTTCCGTTGGGAAAGTTAGTACAGTTTACACAAAGTTTTGCAAGGAAGTTCGCGATACCGACAGACGAGCAAAGGTAACGGCGCGGGACGGGGCGCGGGCAGAGGCGCATCGCGCTCTCTACGTAACTATCTCGTTGTCCGCCGTCCTCCTAATGCTTTATTTTACAGCCGAGTTTGTCTCCGCTCGTCGCGGGAATGTTTGCTCTAAGTATTTACGGCTGATTTGAATTCGTCACATGCTACCCGCCGCGTCAAAAGCTAACTTTCGTCCCATAGGCGGCGCGGAATCATGGGAGTTCTCGTTAAAACTTCGTACCTCGCATAACTTGGCGCCGGAAGTTTTACACGCGCGTGCAGCAAAGACAGAGGGTCGGGACGGCCGAGGAAAAAGAGAAATCGAACAGGTCCTCCCGCGCACACCCATCCCACTCCCTACGCTATCGCGTTATATCTCGGCCATTTGTATTCAATGCACAATCCGCGACTCCATTTGAATAGGAAGTTTTACCCCGCTGCTGAAACGAACTGCTCCGGGAAAAAATAAATTCAATATTTTTACCGAGATTCTATCTTCGGTCGGAGACAAACGACGTTTTCGTGCACGATTCTCAAAATCCTCGATATCTCATTCTTAGACGTTGCGGTAATTAAGTGGAGCGGCACTCTGATTTAAAAAAAAAATCCACTAAAAACTTCCTACTTTTAAATACGTTAGGTATTTTGAACCGAGCGGCATAAATTAGTGAAATAAAATACTTTCCTGAGCTTAATCGATGCCCTGAGAGGTTAACGCGCACATCGAGGGGGATCGTTCACGCGGTTCCGATTTCAAATACCGAGCAGCCCCGCCTTTTCTATATCCTGTGCTCTACACGGTGGCACGTGATAGCGCACGGAATTCCGGTCACGTACCGTTTCAGGGGTAACCAATATCCGCGTTATATCAACCATTAAAATGAATATTTCTCGAATCCGGGCGGGCGCGGTTCCAGCAAAGAACCGCGGTTTCCTTCCGGCGAACACGCGTCCCCCTTGATTTCTCTTACTTGCGCTACGCGTACAGTTCAGTTTGACTTTTCTATCACTCGAACTTTGACACAAACTTGCAGGATCGTTGGAATCCCTATAGGACGATTAAACGATTATGTTACATCGATCGTGATTGAAATCTCTTTTAGTTTATTATATACATTCAATTCTTTTTTTGCTGCATTATTAAGTTTATATTTCTATTAACAATTTTACGTGACACACTGAAACGACGTGATTTCTTATCATCGCTGGGGATTATAGTTGAACGATTTTTTAGACTTGAAAAATCGCGGCAGCTCCGCGGGGCGGAACGATTTCTTGTGATTTTTCAAACAGATTTTCTGCAAGTTAAATCAAATTCTGGAAACGCGACGCTGCGGCAGGCAGAAGCAATTTCCGAGCGTTGAAAATTCTCCGCGTCATACGTCGCGTCGTCCTCGTGACATCGATGTTCCCGTTCTCAGCCTTACATTTTTTTCCGACCTTAGATTTTTTTCACTCCTTGACGAAATTAACGTCGACGAGAATCCAGAAATAATTCACGGAAATTGATCCCGTTCACTACGGTGAATCTGGACTTTACAATTAGTATTAATAACGCGATCCTTCGAAGGTTTAAACGCACGTCAAAGTGCTCCGAACTAAACGTTCGACCGTTCAAGCATTAGCGAGCCGAAACTTATCGGAACTGTTACATAGTTATGACAGTTTTACGGAAAGAATCATTGAAGGGCAGATTACAAGTTGGGAACGAGATAATCCGGAAAGTTTCGCCCGTGATACATGGTCCGACGAACCAGCGGTATCACTGTTATCGCACGAAGGTGCGGCCGATGTTTGACGGTTCGTTTCACGTAAAAATTAACGGCGGAGACGCTGCGGGGTGGGTGGCAACGACAAAGGGAACGGAAGAAAGTGGAGGGACAAAGGCGTGTGAGCCTCGATAACGATCACCGCTATTGTTACTACGCCTCACACGAGCTGTACCTTTGTTTCCCCCTTTTATATCTCTGAATAGCGACCCCCGTCGCCACCCACTTCATCGACGCGCGAAACCCGTCGAAGATAGTTGCGTTTTCCAGGGAAATGGCTCGAATTCGGTCGGATGTGGTTACAAAACGCGAGCAACCCTTCAAAGAAAGGAGTCCTGAATATAGAGAGGGCTCCAAGGCTGGTCTCGTTAATCTTCAAAGGCCCGTTGAAATTGAATAAATGTTTTCGCCCCTTGTCGATGCGAGTACTGGGACGCGTATGGTCTTCAAAGGTCGAAAGTTCATCTGATTTCGTTCCCCGATCGGACAGGCCAGACAAAACCGGCTATGCTTTTCCATTCCAGGAAAAGAACGGGGATAACGTGCCTCAGAGAGTAATCGGATAATCCTGGTCCACAATACACGTTCTCAAATCGAAGCGAAATTTTCCGTGTGGTAATTCAAATATCACCCATTCGAATAGCACTTTGAATCATTAAACACTTTGAACCACGTTTGATAAAATGGGAGTAAAAAATTAAATCTGAAAATTGTATGAATTTTAGCTTTTGTACTGTGAAACCGATGCGATTTTACGTGAAACGCAAATAATACACAGTCTGGTTTATTTGCATACTATTATTTTGAAGTGGCACGAACACACGCAGTTAGGCATGTGTAATAAAGAGAAACGTCGCGAATTCTTTTTACGAGGTCGCGACCCGATTTTGTTCCTCCGTTTATACGACTGTTACTGGCAAGAGTAGCAGCAACGATGCGCGACAATAGGAGTAGAACTTGCAAGGAGCATTGTTGCGGTTTCGAGTTCGAGCTCACAATCAGTTCCCTGGCCCATTCCTCCACGCATTTCTTTTCTCTTCCGGAGCGTTTCTCACTTTTTCAGCGTTCTGCTCGGCGTTCTTGTTTTTCCCAGCCACCGTCCATCGACGCGGATTCCATTAAATCAGCCGGAACGACGGTATCGATACGCGCCGCTCGTAAATCTAAAAAATCACAAGCTCCGGCTGATGGAACGTTCGATAAAGGTGCGAAGTTTTGCGATTTAGGCGAATGTCCACAGTTACATGACGAACTGGGATGAAACATTTCTCCGTTACTCCGTTTTAACGAGTAACTTATTCTAAAAAATTATGTCCCATATCTCCCGTCGATAGTTATTTCTACCGTCGTCTCTCGCACTGATAAAATATTAGGATCTGTTCGATTTAAATGGACGTTTAATCTGTCCTTTCACATCGAGATGTACGCCCGGATGTTTTGTCCGCGCGTAAAAAAATCTGTACAATTCCCATTCACCGTTGTTTTTAATCCCATCGATCGCGAATTCATTAAACGGACCGCGGGAATGGTTCCGTTCACGCTTTGACACGGTAATGCGAGGGCGGATACTCGCGGAATCCATTCTTCTCCGGGTA